TAGATACATAGATACATACATGCATAGATACATACACACATACATACATACATACATACATACACACATACATACATACATATATACATACATGCATACATAAAAGTGTATACATACGTAAAGATGATTGTATGAATTACATGTGTATATACACATGTACACACACCCACACACACACAAACACACATGTATGCGTGTTTGTGCGCACGGGGACCGTCAGTCTTTGCGTGCATCCCCGGGTGTCATTCTGAAGTTGTAGTACACTCCTCAACTCAACTCAACAATTCCGTTCCGGAACTCGCCACCCGGCCTTCCAGGCCTCCAGCCCTCAATGCTCCGCCGCATCCTGAGCCCCGTGCTGAGAACCAGAGCCCGAACGAGAATCCCAGCAAGACACAAAGCCACCCCTATGCCCCAACCCCCGTGTAACCCTAGTGGAAAGTTTTTGGACCTTCTTTTTGCCCCTAAAGGAACCTCTTTGTAGTAACCCGTGCAGGAACTTCTGAAGGATCCCTTGAAGGCTCCTACAAGGGCTTAAAGGGAACCCTTAAGGCTTCCCTTTAGAGGGAACCCCAGCTTTCACCAGGGGGACTGGCATCCTCGGATCCGGCGGGGGAGCTGCGCCGGCCGAGAAGCCTTCGGCAGAAAAGGCTGCTGGAGGCCTTCTTGGGGTTTAGGGTTTAAAATTTGGGGCACAGAGTTTAGGGTTCAGGGCATTGGGTTTAAGGTTCGGGGTTCAGCGATCTTAGGGGTTCTTGAGGTTGGGGGAGATTGTAAGAACAGTTGAGACAATACCATTTTCTAACCATGCCCCACCCCTAGCACCCAAACCATAACAACCTATGCCTCAACCCTAGCCCGACCGAAAGACCCATAGTAAGATAAGACTCGAAGAACCCATACTAAGGAACCAGGCCCAACCCCATAGAAAGTAGCCTATGCAACCCCATAGACCAACACCCATATAGACAACCCATAATACCCAACCCAAAACCCCTAACCCTAGAACACGGAAATGGTCTTCTAAAAACATATCTATAATAGGAATAAGATTTAGGGATAGAGTAACACTACAACATAGTTCTAATCTGTAACAGCTTAAGGATTACAACTACATTGTACTTATGAATGCATTATCCTATATAGTGAAGCATGTACGGTGTCTGCGGTCGTTGCTTTGGGTTCGGCAACATCCATGATAATTCTGTCCTTGTGCTTACCAAAAAGCATAAAGTAACCTTCCAAAAAATCATTATTCATTAGCAATTGATGGACGTGATTGATTACTTTCTCTATATCGGGTTTAGGTTTCTCGGGTTGAAAGGCTGTGGTTCTGGTATTTCCTCTTCATCGACAAGATTACAAGGAAACTGTGTGTTTAATCGTGTGGGTATTTCCCTTTTAGCTTTTCTTCTAGAATCAACCTTATCCTTTTATACATATTTTATTAGAATTGACCATTTCCATGTTCCAGGGTTCGGGATGTCAGGTTGGGTGTTATGGGTTTTCTATGGGGGTGTTGGTTTATGGGGTTGAGTATGCTATTTTCCTTCTGTGTGGGTTTTCATCTGGTTCCATCATTTGGTCCTTACTATGTGAGGGTTCAGGGTTCCCACTAAGGGGCTATAAGGTCAACTACGAGGTTTTCTATGAGGGGTTCTCTCAGGCTTTAGGCCGTGCAAGGACCGGTCTTGGAGGCTTTTGGGCTTTGCGGGGTTTTGTAGCTTTGGGTTTTTGTGGTTTTGATGTTCGAGATGTTTGGGGCTTTGTTGCTTGCGGGTTTTGGAAGTTTGACGTTTGACATGTGGGAGTGTGCGGCTTAGGTAGGGTTTAGAGCCGCTCAGCACCGAGGGATTGGGGGTAGGGCTAAAGTTGAATGCCGGGCTTTGTTGGTTGAGGATTCGCTTGGTTGAAGCAGCCCTAAACTGAAAGAGCCCTCGGCCTTAAGCCCTAAGCCTAACCCTCGCGATGCCTCGACTGGTTGCCCTGTCGAACGAGTACTTTCGGTGTCAAGCTGGTCTGTAGTAGGACCTATTGTAGGGGCCTAAATAATTAGCAATACCCCCTAAACCCAATTTTAATTATTGAGGCACCTACATGAGGCACCTATGTGAGGCCGGGCAGTCAACAATCACTCCGACCAGGTGCAGCCGGCAAAATGCCGGCCCCGACAATGCAGCGTCTGGGCTATTTACGGGTCTAGGCGGGCGTGGTCTTGTTGAGGCGATGGATTTAAAAGGCCTTCCAGGACTCCAGGCCGACTAGACGCCCAGATTGCAGCCCTCAGCATCTACGGATTTGAGGTTCCACTTCCACCCGGCCTCAACCTGAAGCCCAAGCCTAACCCTTTTTTCCAACCTGTGACAGTCCAAACCCCCGTGCACCAGGCCATTCCGATCTTTCGATCCCCTACTCCTAGCCTTCACCAGATGTCAAACAGCAAACCCTGCATCCTCATCTCTCCAACTCCTTCACCTATATACCCTGAAACCTGCGAAGCTCGCCTTGCGGTTTGCCCTCTTAGCAGAGGCAGGATGTAAGGTTAAGGGTTTCTTAATGACAAGGCCCGGTGTTCCACCCTCGCATGCACCAGAATTGCAGAACCAGGTTCTCTGCGTTCGTTTACGTGGCGGATGAGGAGGAAGGAGTAGCCAAGCTCGACGTGCTCCGTTTAGGCCATGCCAGGGCTGAGAATGTGGGCTACTAGGCTTCGGCTGTTGAAAGTTTGTTGTTTAGGAGCGTGGACTACCATGTAGCCCCCAAGGTTCCTTCGTTTCGGCTTTGGGGTGTCGGGTGTAGGTTACACTCATATGAATCCCTGAGCCCCAAACCGAAAACACTAAGTCCTTAACATAAAGGGTTTAATGCAGTAACAGAACTAGTATCAAGTTATACTTATGCAATTATCAAACAAGAAAATCATAATCCTGAAACCCCAACCCTTGTCCGAGTGTGAGCGCCGGAACCCTTGAACTACCGGAGCTCGTGCTCGTGGCCCTGCTAGGCAGTCATTGCAAGGTGCTTCAGAGCCTTGCAATTTCCAAACACGGTCAACCCGGAACCCAAAAACCGTTCACAAAGCAAGTCTCGCGAGCAGTGACACGAGCGGTTTTTCCAATTGTAGCGCACTTCAGTGGCCCCGCGCCGCACCCGGTATCGCGAGCCGGTGTAACCGGCCCCGGCCCGTGCCACACCCCTACATTCGCGACATCCGTGCACACCGGTGTAAGCCCGGCAGCACGCCACGCCGCACCCCCCGCGGAATGCAGAAACCAGAGCTCGTTTCTGCCAGGCGATCAGTCCAGGGAGTCCCGGGTGAAGTGGATCACGACGGACTGATGCACAGTGGCTGTTGTTCCTTGGGGGTATCATTTGAGGAAGCTTCAATGCGAAACTAGGGTATCAGAGAGGGCTTACAGGAGTTTTGGGATGCGCTCTTCCTCTTCCTCTTGTGTAGCAACACTTTTAGTCAGTATATGTGTTTACAGTCGAATCTGCTGTGGTCTGTGATGTGGCTGACAGGCCACTGAGTGAGTCCACAGGCGAGGCGGATTACAGATGTACATGAATATGTGCGCACATGCATATGGCAAACATGAACGTGTATAAACACCGGGGCGAAGAGCGTATATATCAAACTGCAAATAAACAAATGCATAAGTGCATGCATACAGAAACCGAATGCAGCAATGCATAAATGCATAAGTAAACAACTATACAGCTCAATACGAAAATAACTAAACATATTACAAGTAGAAAAGCAAACAATCATATACATGCGTGTTTATCTCTCTCTCTCTCTATATATATATATACACATACAGATATGTAAGCATGTGCGCATGCATCTGTATATGATGCATGCATGGATGTGTGGATGTTTGTTTGACTGTTTGTCTGTATGTGTGCATATATGCGATTTGAAGGTTCATGATGCGTGATTCAAGTTAAGGTGCGGTGAGGTTCTCTGTAATGTGACAGAAGCTGCTTCAGAGTTTAAAGCTTTGGGGTCCTTGAGGCTAGGGCAGGGGCAGGGGGGGTCAGGGTGGCAGCTAGAGTCAGCCAGAGGGCCCATCGCCTAAAAGCTCGGAAGAAGGAGTCAAGAGACTCGTGCTAGGACGCCTCTGGCAAGGCGTCTTTGGCAGCAAGATTTGCCTGTTGGCGTCCTAAGATCACTTGAACCTGAAGCTTTGCGGAAGCCGCGGTGGGCAAGACCTACCGTGGCAGTAGTAGTAGTAGTAGTA